ATTCTCCACAGCAGCTATACTAGTTTGCATTCCCACCAACAGTGTAAGAGGGTTCCCTTTTCTCCACACCCTCTCCAGCATTTATTGCTTGTAGACTTTTGGATAGCAGCCATCTTGACTGGTGTGTAATGGTACCTCATTGAGGTTTTTGATTTACATTTCTCTGATAATGAGTGATGTTGAGCATCTTTTCATGTGTTTGTTAGCCATCTGTATGTCTTCCTTGGAGAAATGTCTGTTTAGTTCTTTGGCCCATTTTTTGATTGGGTCATTTATTTTTCTGGAGTTGAGCTGGAGGAGCTGCTTGTATATTTTTGAGATTAATCCTTTGTCTGTTGCTTCGTTTGCTATTATTTTCTCCCATTCTGAAGGCTGTCTTTTCACCTTGCTTATAGTTTCCTTTGTTGTGCAAAAGCTTTTAAGTTTCATTAGGTCCCATTTGTTTATTTTTGCTTTTATTTCCAATATTCTGGGAGGTGGGTCATAAAGGATCCTGCTGTGATTTATGTCAGAGAGTGTTTTGCCTATGTTCTCCTCTAGGAGTTTTATAGTTTCTGGTCTTACATTTAGATCTTTATTCCATTTTGAGTTTATTTTTGTGATGGTGTTAGAAAGTGTTCTAGTTTAAAAATAAAATATTTTTGACACTTAATTTCCATTTAGATCTTTTAAGATGAATTCTATTTGGGAATTATTCTTATCTTACAAAGATATATTAACAGCAGAATATCAATTTTGTCACCTCAAAATTTCATAAGGGAGAAACGTTCCAAAATCTCATTCAACAAAATTCATGAGAAATAATATTTGGTATAGGAAGACTGTTTCATGGTTATTCAAGAATGTGACTAAGAAAGGATTAAAGAAAAGTGAAGTAGCAAAAACATCTTATTCTCTACTCTCCCATAAGGAAGAGGAAGGGTTTGTCTCACAAGAAAGAATTGCAGTATGACTGTTACAAGAGTCATGTTTCACCTGCTCTATTGAGTAATTAATGTTCCTATATTGTCATGTCTTTGTGTTACATTTTCATGGTAAGGCTTTGATATTAAATTACAGTGAAAATAATTGACTTGAGACAAAATTTCAGGTTTATTTATTTATTGCTGCAGATATTTGGATTTTATTTTTTAAATGTTAATGATAAAGGGTTGTAAGTTCAACATTATAAAGTCAGGTACACATTATAATAAAATGAACTAAATTAATTAGCAATATGCACAGTTCAGTTCAGTTCGGTTCAGTCGCTCAGTCGTGTCCAACTCTTTGCGACCCCATGGACTGCAGCACACCAGACCTCCCTGTCCATCACCAACTCCTGGAGTTTACTCAAACTCATGTCCATTGAGTCAGTGGTGCCATCTAACCATCTCATCCTCTGTTGTCCCGTTCTCCTCTCGCCCTCAATCTTTCCCAGCATCAAGGTCTTTTCAAATGAGTCAGTTCTTCACATCAGGTGGCCAAAGTATTGGAGTTTCAGCTTCAACATCAGTCCTTCCAATGAATATTCAGGACTGATTTGCAATATGCACAAAATGACTTATTCTTTGATCCTGATCTTTAGAATTCATATTATGTTTATCGATTTATATCTTACAGGTTTTTTATTTGAATACAGTTGAAAACAGGCTTCCCTGATGGTTCAGCTGGTAAAGAATCCACAATGCTGGAGACCTGGGTTCAATCCTTGGGTTGGGAAGATGCCCTGGAGAAGGGAACGGCTACCCACTCCAATATTCTGGCCTGAAGAATTCCACAGACTGTATAGTCCATGGGGTCACAAAGAATTGGACACAACTGAGTGACTTTCCCTTTCACTTTTCACAGTCAAAAGCAAAGCTATAATGAAAAGCACTATGTTTGGTGTTTTTAAATGTTTATTTATTTATTTGACTCTGTGAGGTCTTAACTGACTGACAGCATGTGGAATCTTACTTCCACTGCCAGGGATCAAACCTGTGTCTCCTGCACAGGAAAGCAGATTCTCAACCATTGGACCATCAGGGAAGTTCCCAGCACCAGGTTTTATAATCGGGATGATATTTCTCAATAGGCAGAGGGAAGGAATGTGACTGATTCATCTTTTACTGTCTTAAATGTGTATAAGAAAATCACTTTATACTGACACGCTTCACTATTAAAATCAGCATTATAAACTAGGCATTGTAATCCCTAATTTTCATAGTAGAGAGTCAAGATTTAAATATTTACAAGAATTGCATTGATATAGATTTATGGTACTCCAGTTCAGTTCAGTTCAGTTCAGTCACTCAGTCGTGTCCGACTCTTTGCAATCCCATGGACTGCAGCATGCCAGGTTTCCCTGTCCAGCACCAACTCCCGAAGCTTACTCAAATTCATGTCCATCAAGTTGGTGACACCATCCAACCATCTCATCCTCATAATCAGTCCTGAATATTCACAGGAAGGACTGATACTGAAGCTGAAACTCCAATACTTTGAGTACCTGATATGAAGAACTGACTCACTGGAAAAGACCCTGATGCTGGGAAAGATTGAAGACAGGAGGAGAAGGGGATGACAAAGGATGAGATGGTACTCCAAATAAATATCAAATTTGGGTTGCAGGCTAAGAAAGCTTATGTCATACTACTTATGTCAGCTTCAGGAAAACATGGTAGATTTCCAAAATCTAGCCCCTGCTCATCACAACTAGAGAAAGCCCATCTTCAGCAACAAAGACCCAGTGCAGCCAAAAATAAATAAATAATTTTTTTCTAATTTCTTAAAGTAAGTAAAAAAAAAAATCATCAACTGTGATTGGCTTTAGAAGTATGGACTAAGGATAGAGGGAGGTCTTTCACTTGTCACATTTTTCTCATATTATTGAACATAAAAATACTATTTTTATAACTTGGAGAAAAGTAGTAAAACCAAGGGGATAAAATCATATTTGTATTTTAGTTGATGAAAACAGGACTATTAATCATTAATATCTAGCTAATTGTATATTCATTAAATTATTAACATAACTGTTCATTCGTATTGATTCCTGCTGATTGATAATAATAAATAATGGGCTGTAAGAAAGATAAAGACCATTACAGTATACTAACACATATATATGGAATTTAGACAGATAGTAACGATAACCCTATGTGCAAAACAGAAAAAGAGACTCCCATGTATAGAACAGACTTGTGGACTCTGGGAGAAGGCGAGGGTGGGATGTTTCAAGAGAACAGCATCGAAACACGTATATTATCTAGGGTGAAACAGATCACCAGCTGGGAAGACCCAGAGGGATCGGGTGGAGAGGGAGGTGGGAGGGGGGACCGGGATGGGGAATACATGTAAATCCATGGCTAATTCATTTCAATGTATGACAAAAACCACTACAATGATGTAAAGTAATTAGCCTCCAACTAATAAAAATAAATGAAAAAAAAAAATAAATAATGGGCTGTAGTCAGTGTGATTCACCATTTAGTAATTCATATAACTCACCCACTAGACAGTTTCTCTATCTAGTGGTTCAAAGCCATTTGCTGATAGCATACATTAAAAATGTGTATGTTTATAAAATAAATGTGTAAAATTTGTAAGCATTCTGTAATCTATATAACTGTTAAATGAAAATATGGAGGCAATTGACCAATACATTCAAACAATAAAAAGTCCCTTTGAGAACAGGGATATTTTCTAACACACGGGAAGTCTGTGAGTCATTGGGTGTGGGGATTACCAGGTTTTGTACATATATATATATATATATATATATATATATATATATATATATATATATATATATATAAACAAATGTGAGTTTAAATCAACTGAGACCAGTTAATCTTATCCTTAAGTAACAGAACATGACTATATCCAACTAATCTTCCAGAAACACACTGTATTCCAACATCTAATTGAAATTATTTCTTTCAGCACTCAAATTCATTTTTCCCATTGAGAGAAATAGGCTATAATATTAATATAAAACAAAACCCCCAAGTAATTTAGAACAGTAGAATTAAACTTCCTACTGAGGCTCCTCCAGAACCTCAGAAGCTATGTTATGATGTAAGAAATTGAGATGAGTTTCAAAGTGTATAGTCATACTTCCCAAGGCTGTTCATCTGAGTTGAACCTGTAAAATAGCCTAGTGGCCATCACTTGATAAATGGCATATGTAATCCAAAGTAATAGACTGTTTAAGAGCTTCAAATGAAAGAGGAAGAAAAAGCATAAAAGGTGAAAAGAAATTCACATGGTCAAGGTATAAATACATAAACTACATGCCCAGCTCTGTGTGCAATGTGTCTCCTTTTCAGTTCGGTCTTGTCCGACTCTTTGCAACCCATAGAATGTAGCCTGCCAGGCCCCTCTGTTCATGGGATTTTCCAGGCAAGAATACTGGAGTGGGTTGCCATTTCCTTCTCCAAGGGGATCTTCCTGATCCAGGAATCAAACCCAGGGCTCCCTCACTGAAGCCACCGGTGGCTACCATCTGAGACACCGGGGAAGCCCCCTTTTCCGTTAACAAATGTATAATAGTAAAGATCAAAGTGGTTTGGAAGTGCAGAGGTGAGCTCCACAGATGTCAAGGAAAAATTTAAGGATGAGTGAGGTCTGGAAGAAAGCACAGAAATTTATCCACCAAAATATTAATAAAACAATAATTTTTAAGCCCATCATATTTCCACAAGTTCTGTCTGTTTTGTTGATGCTTAAAACGTCTTCATTTCCCCATTTCGTTGTTTCCTGGAGTGAGGAGACTGACTGTTGTCCGGTAAACTCCCTTGTCCTCCTTATGCAACAAAGGAAATCTTGACATAAACACACAGCCACAGAACAAGTTAATTTTCTTATGTCTTAGGGTTGAGCTTCCTAAAACACAGATCAGGTATTCCTCCTTCATTTTCTTTGGCTCTTATCAACAAAGCACTCTGGGACTCAGAAACTAAGGACAGAGACAGGGAGGAGGAGAGGAGGAGGAAGAAAGAGACAGTGAGGAGGAGAGGAAAGGAAGAAAAAGAGAAAGAATGAATTCATCCACATCACCAGCATCACAAAGCACAGGTAAGATTTGCAACTATTCCTTTTCCTTCAGTCTTCCCTGGTTGTTCAGTGGTAAAGAATCTGCCTGCCAATGCAGGAGTCACAGGAGACATGGGTTCAATCTCAGGGCTGGGAAGACTGGAGGAGGAAATGGCAACCTACTCCAGTATTCTGGCCTGGAAAATCCCATGGATACAGGGGACTGGTGGGCTATGGTCCATGGGGTCGCAAAGAGTAGGACACGATTGAGCACACATGCACTTTTCTTTCATAGATTTTTCATGAAAGAGGTGATAAACATTCTGGGGACAGGACAATAAATTTAGGAATGAGTGAGGTCTGGAAGAAAGTCGAGAAATTTTATCCATCAAAATAAAATGATATTTTTAAAGCCCTTCATATCTCTCCAAGGTCAGTTTGTTTTGTTGATACTTAAAATGTCATCATTTCTCCATTTTGTTATCTCCTGGAGTGAGGAGACTGACTTGTTGCCCAGTAAATGCCAGTATAGTAAGAGTGGAGAGACAGAGAATGAAAGACGGGGAAATAAAAGAGGATGGTTAGAAGGCTAGACGTTCTTCTGGAGAGACTGCAGGAGACTGAGTTCAGAGAGAGCTACCAGATTACTACCTTTTCCATTCAGTGCTTCTCTAAGTGTGGTCCCCAGGCCAACAGCATTCTCAGCTCCTGGAAACGTATGGGTTCCATACCAGCTCTACTGAATTTTTAATTCTGGAGGTGAGACCCCATGATCTGTTTTAGCCAACCTTTCCAATGATTTTGATGCATGCTGAAAGTGTGGAATTACTCAGTATAGGTAATACAAGTGGAAGAAAATAAGCAGGGTCAAATATGAATTTCTTTTATCTCTTTTGTAGCTCTTTAGGAAGACTGACCACGTGTATGTCTTTCTTTCTACAGAGAGAAGATGCTTCTCTTCCCAGCTGTTCTTGTGGGCCATTGCTGGCACTGCCATCCTTCTCCTGAGTGCCTGTTTTATCACCAGATGTGTTGGTGAGTTCTGAGGGTCACATTCAAGCTGCCTAGTGAACATTAGGAGTTAATTCTTCCTTGTTGGTTGTGGGTTCTCTTCTCCCACAAAGGGTATTTCCATTTCCCTGGTGACTCAGATGGTAAAGAGTCCGCCTGTGATGCAGGAGATGTGGATACTATTCCTGGGTCAGGAAGATCCCCTGGAGAGGGAACTGGCAACCCACTCCTGTATTCTTGCCTGGGAAATCCCATGGACAGAGGAGCCTGGCAGGTTACAGACCATGGGGTTGCAAAGAGTCAGACACGACTGAGTGACTGATGCTTTCCCCCATATTTATCTCCAGGTTACTCCTCAAGCCAGAAACCCCAACCAGCATAAAACTGGTACTAAGTTTCAGTGACCTGTGAAACGTTCTTCATGGTACACACTTGTTACCTCCTTAGTGGCCCTGAGTCCACCCTCTCTGTAATCTTGTCATTAGTGTAAACCTCTCTGAGATCCTAGCCAGAGGCACAGGAAGTCACTTCTTGGAAAGAAGTGTTGAGAGGTTAGACTTGGCAAAAGAGAGAGTCTTAGGTATTTTGTATTGTTCTTGTGTGGCCTTCCCTGGTGGCTCAGTGGTAAAGAATCTGCTGGCAATGCAGGAGATGTGGGTTGGATCCCTGTGTCGGGAAGATCCTCTGGAAAAGGGAATGGCTATCCACTCCATTCTTGCCTGAAGAATCCCATGGACAGAGGAGCCTGGCAGGCCATAGTCCATTGCAAAAAGCTGGACATGACTTAGCAACTAAACAACAGCAACAAAAGAGAATCCAAACACATTTATTATATATATTTAACAGATCATGGTATCTGGTCCCATTACTTCATGGGAAATAGATGGGGAAACAGTGGAAGCAGTGTCGGACTTTATTTTGGGGGGCTTCAAAATCGCTGTGGATGGTGATTGCAGCCATGAAATTAAAAGATGCTTACTCCTTGGAAGGAAACTTATGACCAACCTAGATAGCATATTAAAAAGCAGAGACTTTACTTTGCCAACAAAGGCCTGTCTAGTTAAGGCTATGCTTTTTCCAGTGGTCATGCATGGATGTGAGAGTCGGACTCTGAAGAAAGCTGAGCACCAAAAAATTGATGCTTTTGAACTGTGGTGTTGGAGAAGACTCTTAAGAGTCCCTTGGACTACAAGGAGATCCAACCAGTCCATTCTAAAGGATATCAGTCCTGGGTGTTCATTGGAAGGACTGATGCTGAAGCTGAAACTCCAATATTTTGGCCACCTCATGTGAAGAGTTGACTCACTGGAAAAGACCCTGACTCTGGGAGGGATTGGGGGCAGGAGGAGAAGGGGACGACAGAGGATGAGATGGCTGGATGGCATCACCGACTCAATGGACATGAGTTTGAGTAAATTCTGGGAGTTGGTGATGGGCAGGGCCTGGCGTGCTGTGATTCATGGGGTCGCAAAGAGTTGGACATGGCTGAGCAACTGAACTGAACTGAACTGAACTTAACTCATTGTTGAGTTTATTTTTCCAGATTATGCACACACTACTAGGAATACATCCAGGTAAAATATACAAGCTGCTAAATTGAATTTGAATTTGGCAATTTATATGATCAGTGGCCATTCCAATAATTCATTCATTTAACATTACTGAAACCAATCTTCTGCATTATCATCATCATGTTGTTAACGAAGTTCATTCAATAAATAGATAATTCATTTTCATCTTAGACTAGAGCTTATTGCTTAGGACTTACCAAGCATATTGTACCATTAGCAAGACAGCTATATTGAGATACATAATTTCTACAGGTAAATTCACATGGGTGTCTTTCTTTGGTAAGAAATTGGCTGAGAAGAATATTTTGTTTGTGGAATCAAGGAAAACATTAACATTTCAAAAATATTTGCCTTTTAAAATGCATTCTACCAGGTAGGTGAGGAAAGAAGTTTTCTTCTACTCTTCTGTCTCAGCTAGGGCTTTGTTACAAGAAAAAAAAAAAAAAAACATACAAATGTATTTAATGTGAGTTTCACATTTGTTTTCTTTGGGTCTTCGAACCTGAAATAAAGTACATTTATCTTCATAAATCAGGAAAAGCATGAAATGTGAATTCTCTCTTCTTTGAGTAAGCAAACCTCAGTTCCTATCCATGTTGAAGTAAAAGTAGATAGTAAGGGAATATCATAACTGCTGGTACTTTTATAACTATAAGAAAAAATCTAATGTATTTGTAAAAAAAATTTAATTGGAGAATAATTGCTTTACAATGTTATGCTGGTTTCTGCCACATGACAATGTGAATCAGCCATAAATATACATATGCCCCCTCCCTCTTGAGTCTCCCTCCCACCCCATCCCACCCCTCTAGCTTATCACAGCCACTGGGTTGAAATCCCTGCATCATACAGCAAATTCCCACTAGCAGTCTATTTTATATATGGTAATGTATCTTTTTCTCAATTCATCCCACCCTCTCTCTCCCAGACTGTGTCCTCAGCCTGTTCCCTATGTCTGCGTCTCTATTCCTGCCCTGCAGATAGGTTCATCAGTGTCAGATAAAATGTACTTTTACTAAGTGAAAGTGAAGTCGCTTAGTTGTGTCCAACTCTTTGCAACCCCATGGACTGTAGCCTACCAGGCTCCTCCATCCATGGGCTTCTCCAGGCAAGAATACTGGAGTGGGTTGCCATTTCCTTCCCCAGGGGAGCTTCCCGACCCAGGGATCGGTCCCGGGTCTCCCACACTGCAGGCAGATGCTTTACCCTCTGAGCCACCAGAGAAGCTTTTATTAAGGGTAATGAATATTAGTTGTGCCCCTTTACCTTACAGTGACATATGGCATCTTTCAACTATGTGATGAGAAAAAGTTCCAGCCACCTGGGGATTCCATGGAACTCTCCTGCTATAATGATGGATCAGGTATGTGTGCTGTGCTTAGTCGCTCAGTCGTGTCTGACTCTTTGTGACCCTATGTAGTACACCAGGCTCTTCTGTCCATGGGGATTCTCCAAAATACTGGTGTGGGTTTCCATGCCCTCCTCCAGGGATCTTCCCAACCCAGAGATCAAACCCAGATCTCCCATAGGTGGATTATTTACCATCTGAGCCAGTAGGGAAGCCCAATGGGTCAGGTATAATAGACCTCACACTTGAACATCTCAATTTACATAGCAACATTTTCTGGCTTTAGATTGATTTGGGGATAAGTAAAATAATCAAGTTGGGTCCTGTTTTTCAAAAGCAAAATGCAAAATCTTGCCTGTACTGTCAAAGAATAATGAGAAGTTGGAAGACAAGAATAAAACTTTGAAAGTGAAATTTGTGTTCAAGCAGGAAACTTTGGGAACATTACAGCAAACCTTTAGAATAAATGTGAGGTGTATGGCTTAAGAGTCAGTCTAGAAGTTGAAGGTGTTATTCCCAGAAGTGTGCTTTTTATTTTCATCCATCACCTGCTTCCAAAATGAAGTGAAGGAGAAAAAACATGTAGGAAGGAAACTTGAAAATATCTCAGAAATATGCTCCCTATACTCTTCCATATTGTCCTGGTCCAAGTCTCAGCAAAATGCTACTTGACAATGGAAAGTGACTTCCTTCTCTGATCTATGATTTCCTCACCATTAAATGAAGAGGGATTGGGCTATTTATTTTTAATAAACTTCATAGGCTGAAATTCTATAGTTTTAAGAACTGTAGGACAACTGGTTTGGAGATTCTGTTGAGGGTATATTGTTTGGAAAACATGAGAGACAGTTGCTTAGTGGTCACTCAGATAAAATACATAATTTTTCTCTGAACTTGGTAGTCTATGAACAGATAATAGGATCCCATGTCAATAGCATAACTAAGGAAGATTGTATATATCAGGGGTTCCCAATCTCTTTGGGGATAAGCAAAGTAATTGAGTTGAGTCCTGTTTTTCAAAAGTAAAATGCAAAATCTTGCCTGTCAGAGAATAATGAGAATTTGGTAAGAGGACAATAATAAAACTTTGGAAGTGCAATTAGCATTCAAACAGGAAACTTTGGGGATGTTACAGCAAACCTTTAGAATAAATGTGTACCAGTCCAAAGACCGGTACCTCCTGTCAGATCAACAATGGCATTAGATTAGAAATAAAGTGTACAATATAAAGGCAATGCATTTGAATCATCCTGAAACCAGCTTCCCCACCTGCTCCATGAAAAATTGTCTTCCACAAAACCTGTCCCTGGTGCCAAATGGTTGGAGACCACTTTTATACGATTGTGTTAATATTTATTGGCACTGACATCTAGAAAGTAAGGATTATGTCTTGAAAGACAAGAACATTGCTGTTTGTGTTTGTTGACTGAGGAATTACCTAAAGTCTTGGATAGTAAGATGTGGAGTATGAACAAGGGGTTCCAAGGCTTCTGACTCTAAGTGAAGAACTTATCAGCTCAGAGGAAGGTTTCTATCATCTTACCCGGTTCATGTGAGACTCTCACAGAAACTTCTATCCTTCCAGGTTCAGTCAAGAATTGCTGTCCATTGAAGTGGGTCCATTTTCAATCCAGCTGCTACTTCTTTTCTGTTAACATCATGTCCTGGACAGCAAGTCTAAAAAACTGCTTGAGCATGGGCGCTCACCTGGTGGTTATCAACACGCAGGAGGAGCAGGTAGTTGAGTACAGCATCCTCCAGTGTAGTGAAACATCCTTCACAGGACCCATCTCCCTTTACCCCATACATGCTTGTGTATAGTATTTGACCCACAATTTCTATGTGTCACATGAATTTACTGAAATACATGCTGTTCTTAACTTTTCTGAAGTCATTACCAACTTTATTTTCTTTACTAGAAGAAACCAGGATAAAAAGAAATTTTCATGTTTAATTCCTTTACTAGGAAGGCAGGATAAAAAGAGGGCTGGGACTTAATTTTATTTATTATTTATTAATTTGTAATTATTATTACCTAAAAGATGATGCTGTGAAAGTGCTGCACTCAGTATGCCAGCAAATTTGGAAAACTCAGCAGTGGCCACAGGACTGGAAAAGGTCCGTTTTCATTCCAATTCCGAAGAAAGGCAATGCTAAGGAATGCTCAAACTACTGCACAATTGCACTCATCTCACACGCTAGTAAAGTAATGCTCAAAATTCTCCAAGCCAGGCTTCAACAAAACATGAACCGTGAACTTCCAGATGTTCGAGCTGCATTTAGAAAAGGCAGAGGAACCAGAGATCAAATTGCCAACATCCATTGCATCATCGAAAACGCAAGAGAGTTGCAGAAACACATCTATTTCTGCTTTATTGACTATGGCAAAGCCTTTGACTGTGTGGATCACAATAAACTGTGGAAAATTCTTCAAGAGATGGGAATACCAGACCACCTGACCTGCCTCTTGAGAAACCTGTATGAAGGTCAGAAAGCAACAGTTAGAACTGGACATGGAACAACAGACTGGTTCCAAATAGGAAAAGGGGTATGTTAAGGCTGTATATTGTCACCCTGCTTATTTAACTTATATGCAGAGTACATCATGAGAAACGCTGGGCTGGGTAAAGCACAAGCTGGAGTGAAAATTTCCAGGAGAAATAGCAATAACCTCAGATATGCAAATGACACCACCGTTATGGCAGAAAGTGAAGAAGAACTAAAGAGCCTCTTGATGAAAGTGAAAGAGGAGAGTGAAAAAGTTGGCTTAAAGCTCAACATTCAGAAAACCAACATCATGGCATCCGGTCCCATCACTTCATGGCAAATAGATGGGGAAACAGTGGAAACAGTGGCAGACTTTATTTTGGGAGGCTCCAAAATCACTGCAGATGGTGACTGCAGCCATGAGATTAAAAGATGCTTACTCCTTAGAAAGAAAGTTAGGACCAACTTAGACAGCATATTAAAAAGCAGAGACATCAATTCCAGAAAAATAAATGACCCAATCAAAAAATGGGCCAAAGAACTGAACAGGCATTTCTCCAAGGAAGACATACAGATGGCTAACAAACACATGAAAAGATGCTCAACATCACTCATTATCAGAGAAATGCAAATCAAAACCACAATGAGGTACCATTACACACCAGTCAGGATGGCTGCTATCCAAAAGTCTACAAGCAATAAATGCTGGAGAGAGTGTGGAGAAAAGGGAACCCTCTTACACTGTTGGTGGGAATGCAAATTAGTACAGCCACTATGGAAAACAGTGTGGAGATTTCTTAAAAAGCTGGAAATAGAACTGCCATATGACACAGCAATCCCACTTCTGGGCATACACACCGAGGAAACCAGATCTGAAAGAGACACGTGCACCCCAATGTTCATCGCAGCACTGTTTATAACAGCCAGGACATGGAAGCAACCTAGATGCCCATCAGCAGACGAATGGATGAGGAAGCTGTGGGACATATACACCATGGAATATTACTCAGCCATTAAAAAGAATTCATTTGAATCAGTTCTAATGAGATGGATGAAACTGGAGCCCATTATACAGAGCGAAGTAAGCCAGAAAGATAAAGACCATTACAGTATACTAACACATATATATGGAATTTAGAAAGATGGTAACGATAACCATATATGCAAAACAGAAAAAGAGACTCCAATTTATAGAACAGACTTGTAGACTCTGGGAGAAGGCGAGGGTGGGATGTTTCAAGAGAACAGCATCGAAACACGTATATTATCTAGGGTGAAACAGATCACCAGCCCAGGTTGGGTGCATGAGACAAGTGCTCGGGCCTGGTGCACTGGGAAGACCCAGAGGGATCGGGTGGAGAGGGAGGTGGGAGGGGGGACCGGGATGGGGAATACATGTAAATCCATGGCTAATTCATTTCAATGTATGACAAAAACCACTGCAATGATGTAAAGTAATTAGCCTCCAACTAATAAAAATAAATGAAAAAATAAAAAATAAAAAAATTTAAAAAGCAGAGACATTACTTTGCCCACAAAGGTCCATCTAGTCAAACCTATGGTTTTTCTGGTAGTCATGTATGGATGTGAGAGTTGGACTATAAAGAAAGCTGAGAGCTGAAGAATTGATGCTTTTGAACTGTGGTGTTGGAGAAGACTCTTGAGAGTCCCTTGGACTGCAAGGAGATCCAACCAGTCCATCCTAAAGGAAATCAGTCCGGAATATTCATTGAAAGGACTGATGTTGAAGCTGAAACTTCAGTACTTTGGCCACCTGATGCGAAGAGCTGACTCATTCCCTGATGTTGGTAAAGATAGAGGGCAGGAGGAGAAGGGGACGACAGAAGATGAGATGGTCGGATGGCATCACTGACTCAATGGACATGAGTTTGAGTAAACTCTGGAAGTTGGTGATGGACAGGGAAGCCTGGTGTGCTGCACAGCCCATGGGGTCACAAAGAGTCGGACATGACTAAGTAACTGACCTGAACTGAATTATTACTTTATTTATTCATTTTTAGTTTATATTTTATATATTTTATTTTAGTTTTATTTTTATTTTATTTATTCATTATTTTTATGGATCATAATTGCTTTACAATGTTGTGTTAGTTTCTGCTGTACAACCAGATGAATCAGCCATATGTATATATGTATCCGCTCCCTCTTGAACCTCCCTCCCACCCACCCCCGTCCCACCCCTCTAGGTCATCACAGAGCACTGAGCTGAGCTCCCTGTGCTATATAGCAGCTTCCCACTAACTATTTATTTTACACACGATGGGATACATCTGGGGACCTCATTTTAGAATTACCAGTGTGTTTAGAAACATGTGAAAGAGGGTAAGCAGAAATTGTCCATTATATTTAAGCTAAGATTTATAATGTTTTGTGCTACCCATAACCATAGATAATCTTTGCATGAGTTATTGAGAAGTTTCTCTGTCAAAAGCTCCTTTTCACTGGCATAATTTTGTGTTACCTATGCTTTACCAAAATAAATCCTCTATAATCTTATCATTTCAGGCTCATTTTTCTATCATCTCCAGTCCAAATCCTACTTCTCTCTTAATAACAATTACCTTCAACATTTGTTTGGAATTGGAATAAATGATCTCCTCTTTTGTTGTGTGTATCTTCCATAGGAATTCCTTCACCATGCAAAACCTAGAAACAAAGAGTTTTATATTGGACTGACAGACCAGGTGATTGAGGGTCAGTGGAAATGGGTAGATGGTACACCTCTCACAAAGTCTCTGAGGTAATTTCCTTCTTGTAGTAGAATTATTGGTTGTTGTTTAGTTGCTCAGTTGTGCCCAACTCTTTTGAGACCCCATGGGCTGTAGCCTGCCAGGTTCCTCTGTTCATGGGATTTTCCAAGCAAGAATACTGGAGCAAGTTGCCATTTCCTTCTTCAGGAAATCTTCCTGACCCAGGGATTAAATCTGTGTCTCCTTCATTGGCAGGTGGAGTCTTTACCACTGAGCCACCTGGGAAGCTCAGTAGAATTATAACACTAGCCCAAACTGTAAAGTTAGACCACTGTTGAGGAGAGTCCTCAGAACCTCCTTCTGGTCCAGGAGGTATATTCATGTCCATTCTTGGTGATATTAAATGCAAAAATAAAAAGAGCTGATATATAAGACAGAAAAGAGAAGCACAAGGATCTGCTGCCTCCATCTCCTAGAATTACCTCAGAATAAAAAGGGAAATAACAGACAAAATGAGAAGAGGCTTAAAACTGAACGCTAATTCATGGGAAATGCAGGGGAGACAAAAAGTAGAATTTGGAGTCTTATGCCCCCAAACTGTAGTCAGTGAGACAAAAACAATGATTGAGAAAAACAACAGATTCTTTTCTTAGAGCTTTGAATTTTAAAAGTTAATTATTTTTGGCTACACTGGGTCTTCGTTGCTTTGTGAGGGCTTTCTCTAGATGCAGGGGCTACTCTTCATTTCAGTGCACGGACTTCACATTGTGGTGGCTCTCTTGTGGAGGAGCACAGGCTCCAGAGTGCGTGGACTTGGGTAGCTGCAGCCCACAGGCTGAGAAGTTGTGGCTCTCGAGCTCTAGAGGGCTTCGGCTCAGTAGTTGTCATCCACAGGCTTAGGTGCTCCGTGGCACGTAGGATCTTCCCAGATCATGGACTGAACCTGTGTCCCCTGCATTGGTAGGTGAATTCTTATCCACCATGCCACAAGGGAAGTCTGAGACAACAGATTCCTATGGACTAAAAGTAAGATGTTCTGACCCTTTAAAACATTGTTCTGTGGCCCCAGTCAAGTATGCACCTCAGTGAATACAAACTCTATAGGATAATGGGAGCTAAACACGATGTGAGTTGTGTGCATGAAGGAAACAAATCCACCAGGATATCCCTCTTTCCCCTAACATCTCCGTTTTGGGTCTAAAGCCATGAGCGACCACAGCAAAACAAAAAGTCAGAAAGGTCCCATTTAACTTCACTATTCACAAACTCTATGACTTAGAGAAATGGTTTAGCTCTTCTGAGATTCTTTTGCTTCATAAACAAAGTGGGGATTATAATATCTGTTTCATAAAATTGTTGTAAAGTCAAACACGAATGTATTTTGCCTAGTTTATAGGGCTTCCCAGGTGGTGCTAATGGTAAAGAACCAACTTGCCCAATGCAGGAGAGGTAAGAGAGGTAGCTTCAGTCCCTGGGTTGGGAAAATGCCCTGCAGCAGGAAATGGCAACCCACTCCAGTATTCTTGCCTGGAGAATCCCATGGACAGAGGAGCCTGGTGGGCTACATACAGTCCATAAGGTCACAAAGAGTCAGACATGAATAAAGCAACTTAGCATGCACACATAAATCACCTTGCCTCATGTAAATCTCCCCTGTTGCTCTCTTTCAGCTTCTGGGATGCAGGGGAGCCCAACAACCTGGTTACCTTGGAGGACTGCGCCACCATAAGGGACTCCTCAAATCCAAGGCAAAACTGGAATGATGTGCCCTGTTTCTTCAGTATGTTTTCGATTTGTGAAATGCCAGAAAGAAAGATTTGAGAAAAGAAAAATCTTCAAGACACGAGGCACAACCTTAAAATGTATAAATGGAAAAGAACAAGCGATAATCATAACCACACAACTCCAACGTGAGAAAAGCAGGCATTGCACTTTTTTAGGACTTGATAAATGTTTTCTGCTTTGATATAAAAATAAGTCATTTTGAAGGTATAATTCATGGTGTGCATTTTTGTCTACATCGGTCTTGGGATTTCTCAGACAAGCTTCTCTAGCAATGCTGCGAGAAGAGCTATTCCTTTTTCCTTTCGGTATAAATGCTTCATTTATGAGTATTTATGTGAAAGTACAGAGACACAAACAAGCACCAAATCCAGCAAAGAAGAGAATTTTGGAAAGTGTCTTAAACAGTTCAAATTCAGTCTCTGTGTCATGTCTTCTTTATAGTTCCTGAAAAATCTGTCTTCTTGATTTCATGTTGTTTTTTACCCCCTACCCAAGCATATCACTTCACTGTGTTCTCCTCTATAATGAGTAGGAAACTTTTCAAGTCATGAACATATTCCTAATTAAAAGACTGGTGTGAGAGGGATGGGATGGGGAGGGAGGAGGGAGAGGGGTTCAGGATGGGGAACACATGTACACCCATGGGGGATTCAAGTCAATGTATGGCAAAACCAATACAATGTTGTAAAGTAAAATAAATAAATAATTTTTAAAAAATAAATAAATAAAAGACTGGTGTGGACTTTCCAGCCAAAGGCATTTACTTTGCCTACTTATTAATAGAAAGGCCATACTAACCTTCAGCTCCAAAGAGACTGTCATCCAGGGACTTCCCTGCTGGTTCAGTGGCTGGGACTTCACCATCCAAAGCAGAGGATTCAGGTTCAATCCCTGGTCAGGGAGCAGGAATCCCATATGCCTCATGGCCAACCAACCAAGACATAAAAAGCAGGAGCAATATAAATTATTCTAAGAGAACAATCGATTTCACCCTTTCCTGTCACAAGCCTGTCCATTTATTGCATAATAGTCTATCAGTGGTCTTCCCTGGTAGCTCAGCTGATAAAGAATCTACCAGCAAGAGACCCCGGTTCCATTCCTGGGTCGGGAAGTTCCCTGGAGAAGGGATAGGCTATCCACTCCAGTGTTCTTGGGCTTCCCTGGTAGATCAGATGGTAAAGAATCCGCCTGCAAATGCAGGAGATCTGGATTTGATCCCTGGGTTGGGAAGATCCCCTGGAGGAGGGCATGGCAACCCACTCCAGTATTCTTGCCTGGAGAATCCCCATGGACAGAGGTGCCTGGTGGGCCACAGTCCACGAGGTCATAAAGAGTTGTACACGACTGAACAACTAAGCACAGCACATTCTGTCATTACTGATAAGGTTATTCAAGAATATGTAAGTGACACAGCAGCTTTTATAAGCATATTTCTTGCACAAAGCACCATAAATAGACCCTCAAAATCATACATTGGAATTAATGTATAAACATTGAATGGGAAAATTCAACTATATAAATGAATATAATATATTAGCTTTCTTTACAAATGTTTTTTTCTCATAGGCGTGACAATCTGTGTTTTTGAAATCAATATGCCTTTAAAACAAAAGTCATTCAACCTGAAAGAAATTTAATAAATATATCTTCAACTTTCTAATTTTTTCCATATCATAAACATCAAATGAGGAAACATTTAAAAATATGTGGAAATGTGTTTGTTCATGGCTTTTATACTTCAGATGGCTATAGTATTTTAAATTTTATTTTGATATTGAAAGACACATAAAAATATTAATGCATATATTTCACTATTTACAAGTTAAGTTATGCAACTAACTGCCTTCAAAGTTTGGCAAAAAAAGAATTGTTAAGATTTTATTAGAGTAAAGATCATTAGAACCTAAATTATTTATCAGAAAAATTCTTCTTTGAGAAGCAGATCATCCAGTTGAAACTGTTTTTAAATATCATATTTTATAAATGGGGTTATATAAATACTTAGGCACCAGAAAACCCAAAAAGTCACAAAAAATAAAGAGTAGTCAGTCATTCATATTCCCAAGACCATGTCCTCCAAATAAACCACTGTTACAATTTAAATACTATTACCACTTGGGCCCCTAATTTTTTAAAAAAGAAAAATCCCTTTACTACATCTTTTAAAAATGTTACCTATTTATTATTAAAAATTTTTACAGAGCAACAATTGTATAAAGATGAAAGTAAAAAAAAGAATTGAACTCCAAGTTGATGTAGGTAAGATTGATAGGAATCATACAGCAATGATGTATGAAATTTCAATTTAAATTTCTTTTAAAGTATGAATTTAATTTTACTTAAATTTACCAAACAAAAAAATTGAAGTGAAATTAAAGAATTTTTGAAATTCAAGAATTTTATAGGCCTTATGCTGCTGCTGCTTAGCTGCTTCAGTTGTGTCCAACTCCATGCGACCCTAGGTACTGAAGCCTGCCCAGCTCCTCTGTGCATGGGATTCTCTAGACAAGAGTACTGGAATGGATTGCCATGCCCTCCTCCAGGTTATAGGCCTTATAGATAACCACAGAAATTTTTTTCCTAAAGGGTACCTAACAGAAAAATAATAAGGAATCATTTAAAATGTTCTTCTTACTCTTCTTTTTTAAATTGGAGGATATTTGCTTTACAATGTTGTGTTAATCTCTGCTGTACAATAACATGAATCAGCTATACGTGCATCCTCCCTCTTGAGCCTCCCTCCCGTTCCCACACCCATCCCACCCCTCTAGGCTGTCATAAGAGTACCCAGCTGAGCTCCCTGTGCTACCCAGCAGCTTCCTACTAGATATCCACTTTACACATGGTAGTATAGATATGTCAGTGCAAACCTCTCAATTCATCCCACCTTCTCTTTCCCCCTGCTGTGTCTACAAGTTCCTTCTCTATGTCTGCATCTCTATTCCTGCCCTGCAAATAGCTTCATCAGTACCATCCTTCTAGATTCTGTATATATGCATTGAGATATAATATATGTGTTTCTCTTTCTGACTTACTTCTCTCCTCTTGCTGTTTCATTTCTACCTCCTCCCAACCTGCTGTCCTTTTCCTTTCTCAACAATATAGCCCCCAAATCATTCGGGTGGGGCAGACTTAAGGAGCTTTTACATGTGCACATGTGGATGCATGCAAGGAGACATAACCATATGTGGATATACATATAAGAAATCAGTAATCATAGTTACACTGAAGGGGTATTTAGAGGTTTGGAGTGCAAGAGAGAGTCACCTTATACTTTTAATAATGTTTTTTACTGTTTGCCTTTTTAACACATATACATTACTTTTTCAAAGATAAAAAATGTTTAGATTTTCTTTTTAAAGACTTTCTTGATGTGGACCTTTTTTTTAAAGTCTCATTGAATTTGTTACAATATTGCTTCTGTTCCACGGTTTGGTTTTTTGGCCATGAGTCATGGGAGATCTTACCTTCCCAACCAGGGATCAAACCAGCACCTACTGCATTGGAAGGTGAAGTCTTAACCACTGGACTGCCAGGGAAGTCTCCAAAAAGTGCTTAGGTTTTTTAAATGCTTCAGACTTCTAGGACATTCTATTACAATGTCCTTAAGAAAGTAGCATTTATTTTTATGAAATTACTATTAGCTGTTTTAAAAAAAAATTGTGAAGACTATATATGAGAGGTGCCATGAGAATTGAGAATTGACTGAAAGGGACCAAGGGTGGAAACAGGGAGATCAATCAGAAGGCCATTATAATAATCCAGGTAAACAGATGTTTACTTGGTCTGGTGGAAGCCATGGAGAGAATGAAAAATGATCTGAATTGGGAGAAAAAGATTAGGGTATAGATGTAGACATAGATTTATAAAATTACAAAGAGGTCACATTTTATTGACAACTGAATCTTTAAATACAGTTTTGTACAAATGAATAATGGATAATATTAACTATCCAAAGTCTATTTCAACATTTTACAGATTTTTTTTCATTTATTTTTATTAGTTGGAGGCTAATTACTTCACAACATTTCAGTGGGTTTTGTCATACATTGAAATGAATCAGCCATGGAGTTACATGTATTCCCCATCCCAATTCCCCCTCCCACCTCCTTCTCCACCCGATTCCTCTGGGTCTTCCCAGTGCACCAGGCCCGAGCACTTGTCTCATGCATCCCACCTGGGCTGGTGATCTGTTCCACTATAGATAATATACATGCTGTTTTTTCAAAACATCCCACCCTCGCCTTCTCCCACAGAGTCCAAAAGTCTGTTCTGTACATCTGTGTCTCTTTTTCTGTTTTGCATATAGGGTTATCATTACCATCTTTCTAAATTCCATATATATGTGTTAGTATGCTGTAATGTTCTTTGTCTTTCTGGCTTACTTCACTCTGTATAATGGGCTCCAGTTTCATCCATCTCATTAGAACTGATTCAAATGAATTCTTTTTAATGGCTGAGTAATGTTCCATGGTGTATATGTACCACAGCTTCCTTATCCATTCGTCTGCTGATAGGCATCTAGGTTGCTTCCATGTCCTGGCTATTATAAACAGTGCTGCAATGAACATTGGTGTGCACGTGTCTCTTTCAGATCTGGTTTCCTCGGTGTGTATGCCCAGGAGTGGGATTGCTGGGTCATATGGCAGTTCTAGTTCCAGTTTTTTAAGAAATCTCCACACTGTTCTCCACAGCAGCTATACTAGTTTGCATTCCCACCAACAGTGTAAGAGGGTTCCCTTTTCTCCACACCCTCTCCAGCATTTATTGCTTGTAGACTTTTGGATAGCAGCCATCCTGACTGGTGTGTAATGGTACCTCATTGTGGTTTTGATTTGCATTTCTCTGATAATGAGTGATGTTGAGCATCTTTTCATGTGTTTTTTAGCCATCTATATGTCTTCTTTGGAGAAATGTCTGTTTAGTTCTTTGGCCCATTTTTTGATTGGGTCATTTATTTTTCTGGAGTTGAGCTGGAGGAGTTGCTTGTATATTTTTGAGATTAATCCTTTGTCTGTTGCTTCATGTGCTATTAT